AATATTTTGCCAAAATTGGTTCAATATATGGAAATATTGATGTTAAAAGCATCATTCCAAATCCTACGAGAATTTCTAGAAATTTAGTAGATACTGCTGATGGTATCTGCAATAAATTATTCCCTATATTAAACTCATATATGAAAAAGGGTCGATGTGCTGGTAACAAATTTATGAAAATGTGGTTAAATTATTAATAAAATTATTTATTAAAAAATAATAAAGTAAATATATATCTTAATATTATTAATGAAAATTTTTTTCTTAAGAAACTACAGAGGTGGTAGATACGTTTTTGGACTTCTCTCTATGGGAGGCTGACAATGCGTATTCTGATGCTAGCGCCAAAGTTGACGAGCTAAAAAAATACCTAGATCCGAAATTATGTATTGATGACGATAATATTTTAAAATGGTGGAAAACAAACCATTATGAGTTTCCAAATTTAAGTGTTTTAGCTCTTAAATTCCTGGCTATCCCTGCTTCGTCGGCTAGCAGTGAAAGGGCGTTTTCAGCTGCTGGTAGGGCCTTTGAGGAGAGAAGGACTCGTTTAAAGCCAGATAAACTGGACGCCTCTTTATTTATATATCATAATTATTCACTTTGTGATAATTTTGATAATGATATTGATGAGGTCAATATAATATAATATGTTCATTATATTTTTTATATATTTATTAACTTTTATATCATATCTATATTCGCATAAATGATGCTTATTGTATTATATAATCGTTATAATTTTTAAATTCGCTTGTATATTAATCGTTTTATAATATTTTTTACAAATTTAATAAAATGCAACTTAATATATATCTTGAATAGATTATGGCCGTCAAATAAACTTTTATTTAAGGTGACTGAACTGAATAAATACATATAAATTTTTTTTTGGTTATTATAATATTAAAACTTAAATTGCAAAATTTTATTCGGGTCGGGCTCGGGTCGGGTCGGACTAAAAAATGTGTGCTCGGGCTCGGGTCGGGCTCGGACAAAAAAATTTTTAAATTCGGGATCGGGTTGCGAAAAAATTACTTTGCAGTTCTCTAGGTACCATTAGCACGGTGCGATCCGCGTATTTTTTTAAAAAGATTTCGACCCGACCCGGCCCGGCATTTATATTTACAGGCCCGGCCCGGATTTTTAAAAAAATATATTATATTTATTTTTATATTTTTATAACTAGTAATAGCGATTTAAACTAATTGGTTTTAAAATATACGGCCCGGCTCGGGTATTTTAAAAAAAAATTTCCATCATAAAATATTTTACACTTCATCCAACCCATATATTGTTTAATCGAATACCACTATAATTTTATTGAAAAAATAAAAATGGTTATGGGTATTTTGAAAATCGTTTGGTTTGGGCATTTTGAAAATCGTTTGGTTTGGGCATTTTGAGACAAATGATTAAATAGAAAACAGAATAAATAACTGCTCCCCAAGCCTGATTATAATTCAACTCAAAGACATAGCTGTAACATAAATTTATTTGATTTTTATTCTATATATATAAATTTATTGTTTCTCATTTCTAAATATAAATTTAGGGCAGGGCCGGGCCGGGCCTGCATATCTCTGATTTTTATTATAATAGAAGATCAAACCCTTTAAATAAGCGGAACCGTAAAAAGCGGTAAGAACCATTAACGAAAACCGGAGAGAGAGAACATAAATATATAATGGTTCTTGAGGTTTTAATTAGTACGACCTGAATTCATTCAAAATAATTTATTCATATCTAAAATTGAAGAACTGATATTTTTTAAAAATTCATGATATTAATTATTTTTATTTAAGGTTGAGCCCTAAATATCAAAAATATATTTAGTAAACTTTCGAAACTTTAACGAAATAAGCTATTTTTAATATAAAAATAAAAACGTTGAAAATTTCGAAATTTTAACATAAGAATTATCAAAGTTTTTTTTTTATTTTTGCGAATTTTTAAACCAGGTTTAGGACACAGCCTAATGCCTCTCTCACATTCATTTTTATTAAAAAATAGGCACAAATTCAGAACTTTCTTAAGGCTCTGATTCTAAATCACAAACTAACTGATCTCGGATTATAAATTATTGTAATAATATGAAGAATAATTTTTAATTAAAATAAAATAAATATATTTTTTATATTTATAGACAATAATGTATCTTTGGCCTAAATCTAATAAATGAAAAAATCAAATTTGTAAAAATTCGATCTAAATATATAACAAGACACGCAATCCTTAAGTTAATTCATTTATTCATAGAAATAATAATTTAACTCAATTAAACAATTATTTCAATATTTAATTGATAATTTTTGCTAACATTTTTTATTAAATTTAAAAAAAATATCAGGTAATTATAAAAGACGATGAATTATTGGGGTTTAGATGAGAAATGGGAAGTAAAATTAATCAAAATAGTCGGTAGAAAAAATATTTGGTATGTATTTTAAAATTTTTGGGCAGTGAATAATTAATTTTCATTTCTATTTTAGAAAGTTTTTAAAATAGACAGTTTTAAAATTTAAGTATTTAATTTAGGTAAGTTAATAAATAATTTTCCACTTTATATATATATATATACATGAGAAGTTTTAATTTTTGAATATTAACTTTGAAAATGGATATAAGTAACCTCAACTGTAATGAAATCAATTGATGAATATTGTTCAGATTCATTTGATTAATGCGAAGAACACAATCCAGTAATAGTATGGATGGATGAGTAATTAAAAAATCAAGCATATATGGGTTAAGGAAAAAATCTTTAAAATATCGAAAGTCCAACAATTAAATAGTAATTCCTGGGGGGGGGGGCAATCATAAACAAATGATACAGATGAGGGTAAGATTATTTTAGAAGTAATTTAGTTAGAAAAGAGGAAAACAATGTGCTGCAGGAATTTTTTTTATATAATTCTAATGATGATATTGTAACATTATAAATATCTCACTATCATGCTCATGAACTTATTGAAACTAAAATTCTCAAAATGACTAGTGATGTAAGATTAGGGCTAGAAACATTATTTAAATTGGGCCTCAAACCTAAAATGATTATGGAAAATTTACAATTTTTAAGTTTAGGCAAATTGAAAGAATGGCTTACTCAAAACTCAAAAATCATTAATACCAATTTCTGAAGATGCTCCCTTTAGTCTCTTGTTGTACAGTAATATATAAGTTTTATTAATATCTAAATATTATATAAATTTTTTTTTGAGTTGCTCAATGACATAATGTGCAATACAAACTGCAATTCCATAATGGATCTCATTTTTATTATTTTATTTTCTTCACTAATTTTTTTGATATTTCATATAATATACCTTAATAGAAGATAGATATTTGTACAAATATTTAAAAAGGCTAATGTTGTACCGTAATATGTATTTTAATATACTTAGATATTAACATTTTAAAATTATTTTCAATTTTATAGATTTGCTTAATGAAACAAAATATAATAAAAATTGAAATTCTATAATGCATCTCACACTTTTATTTACTAACTTTTTAAATTTGCAATTTCATATAATATATTTGATACTGATCTATAATTAAAAGATATTTGCATAAATATTAAACAATCTTCAAATAAATACTGACTAATTTTAATTACAATTCAACTTATTAATTTTTATAAATATTGCTCAAATTATTTATTTATTGATAATAAAAATACTGCCAATTTTGATTTATTTACTACCCAAAGTATTAATTCTTTTGTAATAAAAATAATGCCCAAAATAATCACAGCCATTATAAAATAATAAAAAACATAATCCATAGGCAGCAAAAATTATGATAATAGAATAAAATTGATATTTCATATTTTTAATTTTAGTTTAAATTTATATATTTTTGTTAATTAATCATTATAAATTAAAATTCACTCCAATAATGTCAAGTGGAACACTACAGTTTTGGACTGATAAATTATTGATAATGGTAAGTAAGGTATATATAAATTTAAGGGCTTCATATTTTAATATTTTTATTAATCAAAGTGAAGTGAAAATTTCCATTGTATTTGTTAGCTTGCCTTTTCTCTTCTATCTCTCCAGATGTGGGAGTATCAATTACTGCTACCATATTATCTCTTAAAATTTGTTTTACATGGAATTTTATAACAAATTTATATCATAATTAATTTTTATTACATCTTATATTTTCTTTTTTGAGTAAGTATCAACTTTTTTATTATATCTTTGAAATTTGTAAGGAGAATTTTCCTATACCTATTTATTTTATACATTATAAATTAAAATTTCATTTAAAATATAGCTAAGTTTGGGTTGTCTCATGTCCAACAAATTGGGTACAATTATTGGGGATAAAAAAATATGAATCCACATTTATTTAGTAGGATGAAGTTATTTGTTCATAAAAGAAACAAGCTTTTACTTAAATGCTCCCAGGAAGTAAAATTTTTTAAAAAAGTCTTGGCCCAATTTAAAAAATAGAGCGATTTTACTTTTATTAATAATGCACATAGCCAGCCCCCATTACAAATTTGCATGTTCTCATAAATATCATTTTAATCTAATAAAATTTCTTCCCTACAACCAACCCCCCACTCCTACCAAAAAATGTATATAATATATCATTATAAAGAAGAATTTAAAAGAAAAATTATTAAAAGTTAATAACTTTTTAAAATAACTATAAATAAAAAATTTTTTTTAAAAGGGTTTTATTAAAATAAGTGAAAACCTAAAAATATTTTTTAAAAATCTATATAGCCAAAAGGCCCACATTAAGTGGATCTCCAAATTTATTAGGAAATCATTTATCTAATAGTGCCAACCTTATTTAGCAAAATCTTGGATATGCCTATACTAATCATTACAATATTTAGAAAAAGAGTTCCTATAATATAATATTAAAATACAAAATTTTTTAAAATTAATTTAAGCTTAAATGAATTTGAAAAAAATATACTATACTGCTATAAATATATCTTTACTAAAATTATCATTTATTAACAAACAATTTCTAACCTTATATTCTCGAATTTAATATTTTATTAGAAACTAAAGTTTTAAAGTATATCATTTTAATAATCATAATAACTCGTCAAAAATCGATATTTTAAAAATTTAAAATTATGAAAGAATGATATTTTTAACAACCATCTGGATTAAATTTACTTAATGCTAACCTATAACTGTTATTTGTAAACTTTTTGAAAGACGAGCAGTCAGGCAAATTTAACTTTGTAAAATAAATTTTATGTTTGATGATCTGTAATTTAAATAAATTTATCATATATTCTAAAATTTTCAAAGTTTTTAAAGTATCGCTATACTCTATCCGAACCATTTTATATATCAGAATTAAAATCTAAGTTTAAAAATTTTTTAAATTCTCTATTTCTCTAAAAGAAATAAAAAATTTTTTAAGCATTTACTCTTCTCTAGAGTTATATATACCCTAATAATATTTCATTTTAATTTAATTAGTTTTTTTAGATATTTTAATAAATACTTTATTTTAAAATAGAATAAATGAACTATTGAATTAAAAATATAATTTAAAAAAACAATTATTACAATTATAGTTTATGTCTTATATCTTTTAATATTTGAGGTGCGTTTAAAATCAAATATTTTTTAAAAATAAAATGTTTTCCTCAAAAGAAAACTCGATTTCGTAAATAATATAATAATTCATTTTAAACTAAAATTTTAACTTTGGGCACACTCTTAGATCGTTGTTTTCGTAAAAATTTATTCCATAATCATCTAATACAATTACATTTATTTTTTATGAAAATATAAGTGATTATCAAAGAAATTATGAAAAGATTGCATTATACCATATAAGTTAATTTATTTACGCTTGCGCCTTATTATTTAGTAAACAACAAGTTGAAAATCACCAGTGCTGCTAAAAGCTACTTTTAAAAGTAGCGCACTATTGCTATCGTTATTTATTTCAAAAAGTTTTAAAAGTAGCGCACTGCTATCGCTATTTATTTCAAAAAAAGTAGCACGCTAAGCTATTTTTAACGTTACTTTTTAATTTTCTTATAATTCTTTTTAGTTAACTCTATTTCTACAAATAAAAATTTAAATTTCAAATATATATATATATATATATATCATTTTTTATTTTTATTGCCTCTCAATAATAATAACACCATACTGCCATCGCATCTGTAACGTCAATCAGAAAGTATAATCTATAACTTAATAATCGTTCAACATTATCACTTGAGGGCTATGCAGTATTATATTTTATTGTAACATATTTTTTTTATATAAAATAAATCATCAAAAATACTTATTTTATCATTTTTAGATTTAAAAAAATTAAGTATTTTCAATATTATTATTATTTATTTCAATAAAATCACTCATGGTAGGTGTCTTAGATTCAGTCTAAAATTATAATAGTAATAGGAGATAAGTGCTGACTTACCAGGCCACCATTTTTTTTATCTATTGAATTAATTTCTCTCAAAATTGGTTAAAATGTTGAAGGATTGTAATAAATATTATTTAGCTTATTTTAATATAATTTATAAATAGATGAGTGTTTAATTTTAAGGCATGTTTAACATCCACCAGATAATAAGTTATATAATATTATCATTGAATAGATGAGCCTGATGATGAAATTTTAATTTAATATAAATTTTTTATTAAAATATAATTCTTGAATAATATGTTATGGTCAGTTAAAACGTACCATCCAGAAAATCCACTTATACATAAAACTTATCTACCACAAAAACTATTATACAGCATTGATTATAATTTTATTTTAAAGATTAAGGTTGGGCTACACATATTGATAAAATTTCTTTGATAATATTACTTTTAAATGTTTCCTCGTTGAAACTACTAGTATTGTTTGACGATAAAACCTTCCGGAAAATAATGAAATTTATACCCTATTGTTAATTTTTTTTTATCTATTAAAATATTTTACGAATTCAGGAAAAGGAAATTCCATAATATCATTATTTTTCCAGTACCAAAATTATTTTCAATCGTCGACATTTTTAATTTAAAAAATATTTTGAAAACTAGATTTATAAACACAGATAAAATAAAATAAAATGATTATGATTTTTGGAATTAAATTTAAATATAATTTAATAATTTTTATGTGTATTTCATTATATAAAATTATTAGTAACGAACTACCTCTTTTGCTATTTATTTTAAAATAGTAGGGCGCTAAAGTTACCGCTCTATTGAAAAAAACGTGATATGCTACTTTAACAAGATTAATTATCACCAACAAATAAAATTAATTGCCTTATGATAATGCTATAAAAAAAATACCGATAAACATGATAAGGTTATCTCCCCAAAATATATCTAAATTATTTTTTAAACATAATTACATAATAATAAGCATTCATATACTCTTTAACTATGGTAAGATTATTAAAAAAATATTTTTATTGCTTCTCATATAAATTCATCATGATATCCAAATTTTTTAAGCCTATAGCGAAACAATTTCAACGCAAAATCATAAAGTTCTATATCCAACTGATTATTCTACACCGTTTTCACTAGCGTATCTTCGCTCAAACCGTTGAACCATTTCATAGATTCTCCCATCTTGTTTTTCAAACCCTCTTTATCCTTAAAATGTATTCCCAACATTTTCTCGAATAAATAGATGGTTTGTGGAATATATTCCGTGATGCCAAACGTTCGGGAGTTTCAAATTTATTTTAGCGCTCTCCAGCATCAGATGATTCTTTTGTCCGATTGATAAACTGAGGATAATGTATTTTTTTTTTTAAATTTAAGAAATATATATTATCTTATTGTTAATAATTATTATGAGATAATGTATAGCATAATCTCGTATCTTATGGTCATGGCGGCCCGCAGTTATTAGGTTAATGATGCTTACTACCTATCAAATTTGAATTTTGTTTATTTTTCATTTGGATAGGCACTACCAAATATATTTATAATATATATTTGAAAAATCGTGATTTTTATAAAGACTCTATTGCCTAGTAGGCAAGGCAAGAGCTTCACTTACTGATCCCATGGTCGCTGGTTCGAATCCCGGGAATGGTCATGTTTTTATTCTTAATCTAACTTGGTGATTCCATCCTTGGGGGGATGATATATAGAAGGCTGGACTCGACCATGTGATTCCGTTAAATAAGGGTCTTATTTCATTTTAATAAATTTTGGTTGGTATTTAGCAAATTAGGTTGGTATTTAGAATATTTCCATTCATTCACTTGGTAGTAAGCATCATTAACCAGTTATTACAAAGCGGTACGTTGGACCACCCTGGAAAAAATGGCAAATGGTAGGATTTTTCATATCAAAAATTATAAGTTTGGTTAGGTTAATAATTAAAATGATTTCATTTATTTAACGAAATTTAAATATTTTTTTAGTCTATAAGTTTTAGGCTAATTCGTTGACCGCAAAATATTTTTCTCGTGGAAATTTTCATAATTTAGATTGTTTATGGGGGGGAAAATCACCTAAAAATTTTAACTCCTAAACTCAAAAATTGTTCATATTTATAATAAATTTATATATTAAGAATATTACCTTTTATAATTTTAAGATCCAACTAACAGAAAATAAAAATAATTATCTTAAAACATAAAATTAGAGCTAAGAATGACCTAAATTATTTTAAAAAACCTCAAAATTTATAAATTTTTGTGAATATATATAATTATGAAACATGTCCAAAATCTTCCATTAATTTTTTTTGAAAGTATTGTAAATTTTGAAATATATACCAAATGATTTTTATATTGATGAAGCTACTGAAAATTCGAGATCATAATAATAAACCGTTTTTATGTAATATCAATTCTAGCAAGCCTGGGGTCTCATATACCACATCGGTGTATTGAAGGGTTAAATACTTTCCCATTAAGTTTAATAAAACTGCCTATTTCCTTAAAAAATTCTAAATTAATCTTACTTACTTTTTGTTTCGTCAAAATTTTCTTTACTTTATAAACTTTACTAATATTTATCAAATTTTCTTAATTTCTAAAATTTTAATAAATTAATAATTTTTGATAAAATTTGATTTATTTATTAAAACTATTATATATAATATCTACTATAAAAATGGAAAAAAAAGAAATTCATTCTAAGAAAAACTTATTAATGGAACGATTTTCATCAGTAATTCTAGTTTTAAAACTATGGTGTCCATAATATATAATGTTGTGATTGTAGGTTATAGCATAACAGTTTAAAAAAAATAAAATATTAGTCAACTCCTCACCTTTTGTCACATTCTATAATTGACATATCGGCTAAATGTCTTGTCATGCGGTTGTTCTCCCATTGATTTTGGCAAAATACGAATTCTTCCAATGTCAACATCGACAAATTTTAAAGGTGATCAAAGCAGGTAGGTCGAAAAATCAACGTTTCCTCCTGGCACATTATAAATTGTTTTGGCCAATCTGATTTTGTGGAAATGTGGTCGTATTCACTTACGTATCTTTTCAAAGGTTCCCTCAGCATAGTCACAAAATGTCTGCTCTTGTTTTATTAATATACATATATATATATATTTCTATAAATAGCTTGGTTGTTTTTTTACAATTTATCTGGAATGCAAAGATTATTAGCGACTTCCGGGAAGAGAAAAAAATTTCAACAGTTTAATCAATAAACCCAGCGTCTACTTGAAGTGGTAGGGGGGGGGGGGTAGGATCAGCTTTTATCCAATTTTTCTTGAGAGGGGGGAGGGGTAAGGGGTAGACTTCTTTAATGGAGGTAGGATAAAATTATTAGGGGGGGGGGGGTTATCTATTAAATTTTTAGATGAAAATAGGGCAAAACATATTGCTGTATAAAAAAATTAATACTTTCATTATAGATCTATTATAATACAACGATATTGCTGATCATCTATCAAATCTATATATTGCAAACAATCATAGACATTATTTTTCCAAAATAAAACTTTCTGCCATCCTTTTTTATAATTTAAAAAGGGTTAGACAATCTCAGTAAACTCATAATACTATAATAATTTATTTATTGTAAATGAGGGATTTTTTTAAAAAAAATTGAATTCATTATCTAAAAAATAACTCCTTTATATTCACAAAATTTTGATAGTTGGTTATAGAGAGATAAAATAATTTAAGTAAATAAAAAAAATACATCAATGCGGTGGAATTTTTTAGGAGGGGGGGGGGTAGAGTTACATCCAATAAAAATCCTGACATGTAGACGCTGCAAGAACCAATCCAATCGAAATTAACAAAAAAAAGATGAAATAAAAATTTAACGCGCAAGAAACCAAAATTTAATGTCCCGCTCGCTTCCCCGTTTGCGTGGACCCTCTACGCTACTTAACAAAGGCAATTACAATTGTTGGTAATTAACAGGTTCATCCCCGAATCTTATAAATTAAAGAAAACAGTTTTATCCCTCAATCTATTTGATCTTTGGGGTACCTTATTTTGGTTTTAAGTATTTGGTCGCATTGCTATTTTTTGTATTTTATTCTCGTTTTGTTTTTGTTTTTTTTTAAAAAACTTTTAATTGCTTTTTTGGCTATAAATAGCAGGCGGACACTGCCTATGACCTTTTTAAATTATGAATTGTTATTTTAGCGTTTTTTAAAAAAAAATTGTTTATTCACCAACCATTTCAAAAATGACCAAATATAGTATAACTTTGAGCGCCTGCCAAAAAAATAATCAAAAAAAATTGTGGCCCTAACCCTTGCATTTCAATTATTTATTTAATTTTTAGCTAAACGACCCTGATACAATCATAAAAATCTAAAATGCGAGTCCATTTGAAAAACCGCTAATAAATTTAATAATATTCAATTAAATAAATGGAATTAGTTTAGAAATAAAAGAAGAATCTAACTTACATTGGATCATGGGATAATTTTCTTTCGTATCCCTTTTTTGGATAGAATATTTTAGAATCTATTTTAATATCGTCTTCGGCGATAAATTATTGGTAAGAATTTTGGCCGGTTGTTGACAAACTATGAAGTTTCATTGCCATGGGAAGACAGTCCCTCAAGCGAACATATATGGGGTGTATTCCGCAATATATCCAACCATATGTGAGTCCACTATACAGCCAACCTTCGGTAATGTATGTGCTTTCATTATTTATCGCATTCTTCGAAGATTTCTTATTTGGGCGTTCGCAGAGGCATTTTTTTACGTGAGCATTTTGAATCATTTTTAATTGGCATGAACACTCAGGATCCACTTGAACATTATGCGCTAATATGGAGGTAAATTCTGTTCCACCGGTCTTTTGTATGTGCACGAAGGCAAGGATATCTCTGTGAAAGTTAAAAGTGATTGGCATGATGGGGTCTAATAAACAATCGCTAGCGAAATCATAGCACTTACTAACAGCGCATTTACAACTCGTCTCAATATTTTGGTGATAGTCGGGGTAAGCCCGCGAAAGTTTTAAGTATATGAATTAATAACCGACCCGATCAAAGTGTTACTGTACTGGTCATAATTTTTGTTGACGATTAAATTCACTTTACCATTTTGGTGGCGAAAAATGTCATTGATTTCTAGTTGAAAATGATACCTGGAGAAAATTCTGGTAACATTGATAAACTTATGTGGATAGATTGCTATTTGGATAGAATAATTCAAAATAAATACATAAAGAAATATTATTAGACACGAGAGAGGTATACAGATATTTTTGACACGTTTTATTAAATTCATATTTATATTAGTAATTTTTATTTTACAATTAATATTTATGATATAAAAAAATATTTGTTTTTAGCATTTTGTGCTGAATCAGCTATAAATATTGATAAATAGTAAAATACAAAATTTTATTAAACTTGTATACAATCTTCGATTGTTAATTTTCAAAAAAATGGATATGACTTTTATTATTGGCGGATCTAATCATCTTTCCTCCTTTTGAACAGAAGACCCTAAATTATATGATATAATATATCTATTTAAACCTGTAAATTTTTGCAAGCATGATTATTGTCAACGGTGGAAAGGAATATTCCAATGAAAATCTTTGAAAAAGAAAAAAAACTGAATAAATTTGTCTTACATACATACGTTTGCCATGAAATGAATTGGATAAGAATGGAAAAAACCCATCCTAACAGTGCTTCCCCTACATAGAAAAATAATTTCAAGTGCCTAAGTAGATATCAATATCTTATTGCCTACTATAAAAAAAATACCGTCATCGAAACCAAAACAATGAGTCTTTTTAGTAGCAACTTTAGGTACCTATTGCTATTATTCCTTAGTAAAACTATTTATAATCGTAAGACTTTACAGCATTGATATTGTGTAATTGACTATAAATCCCATCGTTATCAAAAATTCTCAAATTTCCATTTGACAAAAAAAACACTGGTCGGGCGCGTCTACTAGGCCCTAATAATTAAATTTTTTACTTGCCAATTAAATTGTTTCGAAAACAATTTATTTATCCTCTTTAAAATTATTAATTGAATCATTTCCACAAAAATTTTAAAAAAAGGAAGGCATACTGCATCAAATTTAAGAAATGTTATATGGGAATTACAAAGAAGTGAATTTTGTCAAGCATTCAAATCTGATTTCCAGTACCCAAAATCTTAGTTAATTTTTAGCTCGATTTTAGCCGATTTTTTAAAAACGGATAACTCAATATTTTAGCCAGAAAAATATCGCATGTTTAATGTATTTGATTTAGTGATCTGCATCGGGCCTAATTTTTCAAGCCTTGCCCGGCCCGAAATTTATTTTAAAAAAATTTACCGACCCGGCCAGGCCCGAATTTATTTAAATATAGAAATTAATTTTTATAAATACTTAAAATAAAAGACATATGTTATATAGCGTTTAGTTTCAATAAATTAAATCAAAAAATTTTATTTACATAAAAAATTCAATATAAAATTGATAAATTTAGATATATTTAATAAAATTTCCAAGGTCCGACCCGACCCAGCCCGAAATTTTTTTAAAAATATTAGGCCCGGCCCGGCCTGATTATTTTAAATAAAATTAGGCCCGAGCTTGAAGCCCGTTCGGGCCTAACTTTGCAGATCTCTAATTTGATTACTTACTATGCCAAAATTATCTTATCCCCCAATATAGAATAATAACATTGTTGTAAAATTTACTGTCGTGTCATGGTATTAGTTTATATATTTTTAATTTTGGTTGGCAGCTCTCTTAGACACAGTCGATCCCCGGCAGTTACAACACTAGAAACAGAACTTTGTCGTAGTGAAAATTGGAAATCTATAAGGCAATGCATTGACAATTCCAAAGTTACACTTAATTATCAAAATTGTCGGAATTAGTAGCTCAAAAAATATCAAAACCCAAATGTTGAACCGATCCAGTACCCAAAATCTTAGTTAATTTTTAGCTCGATTTGAGCCGATTTTTTAAAAACGGATAACTCAATATTTTCGCCAGAAAAATATCGCATGTGCCTCGAGATTTGGTTTAATAGATGTCCAAACCATTGTGTTATTTATGACAAAAATCTTCAGGTTTGCGTAATATTTTTTCTGGATAAATAATTGAGTTAACTGTTTTAAAAAATCGGCTCAAATCGAGCCGTTTAACAACACTATTATTGACTCACAGCATCTTTTCCATTTAAAAATTAAAAAAAAATATTTTAATTTTTAAATGATATTTAATGAAAAGTTCTATCTGCTGAATCTTATCAAGATTTACAATCTAATTTTTAAATAGTTTTAAATTTTTCAAAAGGTGGTATATCAATAAACTATTATTCTGGCATCCTTCCTCTATACCCTATCATCTTTTCAATTTTAAATGATATTTTTGAAAAGTTTCTATCTGCTGAATCTTATTAGCAATAGCTTGCTAGTAAAGCAGAAAAAAATTTTTTTAATAATATTTTATTCCTATAAAAATTACAAAACACACAATTCATTATATAAATCAGTTTCGAAAAATAATTATATATTATATTATTATTACTATTTAAAAAAATTGGTCTTTTCTTTATATAAATCAACTAAAAAATAAATAAATAGATTTTTTTGTTTAAACTATTTTAAAAAAAGCGAAAATACAAATCAAATAAATTAGTGTTGTTAAACGGCTCGAATTTTAAAACGGCTAATCCAATATTTTAGCCAAAAAATTTACGCAAATTTCTAGATTTCGTTAATAGATGTCCTAACTTTTCTGCCATCTATACACTAAATCTCCAGGCTTGCGTAATATTTTTGGTCAAAATATCGGGTAGCCATTTTTTAAAAATGGAGCCGTTTTACAAACACTACAATTAATAATATTTAATGAATCCTATATATTTTTTTTAAAAAAAAGAATATTAATAATTTACTGGTTAGGCAGGAATAATTTAATGCACTAAAATTTTTTTGGAATGAAGTAGATAATAAGAGGGAGTGGGAGGGGGGATAAATAAAAATATTAAATATTTGGAAAAGAAAAGAAGCCATGATTTTAAAAAAATGGTGGTTGGGTGAATGACGGGTAGGAACCACCTCGAAAATAAACAATATAAAGTTGTTTTTTTTATAAAATATCTTTAAAAAAATAAATAAGAATCGACAAAATAAAATGCGCGAAAAAAAAATATATATTCGCAATAAATTCGAATAATTTGTACACGATTAAAAAAACTTTTTTATCTTATTTATAACCGAAAAAGAAAAATTCTTCTTCCGTAACAATAAAAAAATGAATGATAAGAATAATTCGATTTGTATGATTCGCGATTATTACGCCAATCTATAATTGATGAGATATTTACAAGCGTGGGTTAGTAGTTGCTTTTCTTTAGGACCCGTGGGTGAAGATAGATGCCTGTGCAAATTCTTGTGACCTTGGGTGATATAATAACATGATAAGGGTCAAGGATAATTTATTATCAAGTATATACATACTATATATATATATTATTTTTTATAATAAATAAAATTTTGATTAAAGTTAATAGCTTCGCTTTGTTAGTACTTTTCGAACATTAAAACTTATTGGTAATAATGATCAAAGGCAGTGGCGTTACTAAGGAGAGGCTACTGGGGGACTCGTGATTTGTCAAAATTTTGTGAGAACTACTTCAAAAAATTGGCTTATCACGTGAACATAAATCTTATAAAAATTCTTAGACCTAATATTCGAATATTTTATTTTAAATAAATAAATAAAACTCTTATTCGAGTAATAAAATAAATAGCGTAAACCGTGACTGCCGGAAGCGTTGTCCTCCTCTCGGGCATAAATATCGAGCCCGTACTGGCCTTCCTCGGGGAGAGAAACTTCGAAAGATATGCCTTCAACTTCCGCCTTTTCTTCCCTGCTGCCCTTTCCGTTACCTTCCAACGTTTTATAATAATGTTAAATTTAAAAAACAATCAAAATTCTTTCTGTGCTTTAAATGGTAATTTAAAAAAATAAATAAACACTAATCGCATACATGATATTTAAAGAGCACTTGGTGTTTTAGGATATATATATATAACCTTGCTACCCAAACTCAAGGTTATTTGAACCAGAGACCTGCATATTTTAAAACCAAATATTTAATATGGCCATTATTAACTATAAAAATCAAAAATAAATATAACAAATTTTAATAAAATCAGGGTCGGGCCTTAAATTATAAAACCCGGTCCAGGCCGAAAAATTTTTTTGAAAAATACTCTGGGCCGGGCCGAAATTTTTTTAAAAAAAAAATCCGAGTCAGCCGGGCCATACAAATGGTACCTCTGCAGGTCTCTGATTTGAACCAATTTCTCAGTCGCCGCGTAACTACGGGTAAGCGGTGGGGGACAAGAGTGGGAATCTACATAACCGTTTGATATTTCTACCCCTCACCCATATGAGACAATGCAAAAATAAATTTAGTCTTAAAATATTTATCGGTGCATATTTTTTTTTATTTTCCGACCATTTTTAAGGTTGCCTCCACTCTGGCTCCTCACACTCACTCTTCAGGATTTTCGGATATTTTATAAATATATTATCAATTTTTTTTGAGGAATAAAAGAATATATAGTTTTTATTAATACAAAAAGTTTTAGGCACCTTCTAGATAATTATCTAATCTTCCCCTGGGGTAAGCCATTTTATAAGCATCCTGATGGTCTTCCCCCGAGGTCAGGTTATCTCGCGTATAAATCCACCGCGGACGCACGCATTTGGACAGGATAGTTTGTTCGCCATCGTTTTTGTGCAAAGCCGCCGCAAAATCTACCAATTTTCGTCTGCTATTAAAATAATACACCAGAAATTATTAATAAAATTTAAGGGGGCAAAGTGAGCTAATTTTAAGCCCCAACAATTACAGGTAAATTAATATAATAAAAGCAAAAAATTAAAAAGATTTAACCATGTTTTTTTATTTTTATATAATACTCAAAAAATAAATGACGATCAAATATATAATATATGACAAAACAGATTTAAAAAATGCATTAAAATATAAAAAAATGGATATTTTAATTTTCGTTTTTTCTTTATGTATTCCGATTTTCTATATATATTATAATATAAATTTTATTTTTATAAATTTACCTTAATTCAATGGTTGTCCTCGATAACCAATCTCCTAATATCGATGCATCTTATTATAATAACTTGAAAAGTCATAAGGTAAATACATTAAGAATTGATGTTACATTATGAACGATTTCGTTTCTTGTATTTTGTCGGGGATTGATTGATCTGTATTTGTTTTATAATACACCAAAGAAATTCTCTATTGGATTAAGTTGAGGCGAATAGGGTGGCAAATATTCTACTCGCACTTTAAAACTATCAATGAGGTGACTTTTATAGATCGATGCATTATCCATAACAATTGAATCACTTGGTATGATATTAATTAGTTCTATCATATATTCCCGAAATAGTAGACTATTATAAGCTCCCTCGATGATGCGATAAAGTATCACACCTTCGATTCCCATAGTACATAATATACTTAAATTTTTACCATTAGATGGTGGGACTTTAACAGTTGGCGTAACATTGTATGATGCCCAGGCGTAAACAGGTACAACATGTTAATTTATGCCTGTCTCGTCTAAGAAAAATATTTTTTCTCTGGCTATATTCAATATTTCTATACAATAAGGGAGATAATGGAAATTATTTGTAGCAGATATATTATGTATTGAATTAGAATAAATAGGATCAGGATTTGATGTAAATGAATTTGTATTATTTGTGTTAGTTAGTATATAAAATTTGTCGTGTATTAAACATTTGTGAATTAGAATAAACAGGATCAGGATTTGATGTAAATGTGTATTATTTGTATTATACTATATAAAATTTGTCGTATATTAAACATTTGAAAAAAATATTAAACTGTATTTTTAAAAAAAATTTAAGTAATATAAAAATTGTAAATGCAAAATAATTACATTAAAATTTTACCATATGTATTTTGTAGTGTTTGTTTTGTTATATATTAATGAATCGTCATTTATTTTTTAAGTATTATGTAAAAATAAAGACACATATTGTTTCATTCTTTTAACTTTTTGTTTTTATTATAATATCTTACAAAAAAATAAAATGATTTGAATATAATTATGGAACGCATGCGCTTTCATCAAAATTATATTAAAAAAAACTAAAACTAAATCATTGAAAATTATAATTGACAAAAAACCTCGAATTTGCAGTGTCAGATTGTCTGCTATCCGAATTATTCGTACCGGAAGCAAAAGATCGCTTGGTTCGAGGAGAGAAGTACGTTAAAGGAGCGAAGCAGAAACGGATGACAAGGAAAGATGTGTGCGTATTCACGACGGCATCCTCGTGGGATGCGGGGATCATAGTGAACAATTTGTAAGCCTTTTATATGAAAATATAAAATATCAGGTTAAAAAAACCTATTTTTTGTTTCCCCCCTTTCCTTTTATATGAAATCTATTAATTTCCCCGTTTTACCTTAACAGGTCCCCACTCGCCGCTGGCACAATCCGGGAGTGGTATCATGATTTTGTCCAGGGTCGAACAGACTATTTTCGCCTTGCATACACTTTTGAATCGCATCGCCTTTCCGGAGGCGTAGTCAGAAGAGTTGACTTGGTTGGCGAAAATGTCGAGCAAAAATTCCCCCTTGCTGGGACAATGTACCTATGAGCATTTATAAATGCGCAAATAAATGAATTTTTTTTAAAAAAAATGTAGAGGATCAACTTGTGTAATCAGCATCATTAGTAGAAAATAGAAACAGGAAGTTATAATAATATTAAGGAATCCTTAATAGTGCGAACAAATTGAGCGTTTCTAACGCTGCGTTGCAAGCGCCAATAATGACTTTCAAATGGCCTACTGCAAATTGGTAAAATTACGGTTTGGCGTTAGCAATCATTTAAAAAAACGCAAATAGGTTTGCTTTTCCAATACTTTTTTTATTCTTCGTTTTGTAATATTATATAAAATGTAATATAAAACAACTTACTTATAATCCTAAAAAAAGGAATATTTAAAAATTAAAGAAATAAGAAGGCAGACGATAATATAATATTCAAGACAAATCCTTTTTTTTTTAGAAATTATTTAAAATTTAGAATCAAGGGATATTAATAAAAAGACGACCTCAATTTAAACAAGGGCCGTGTTACGTTTTTTTTATTTAAAATTTACGGCAAAACGTAAACTCTCAATGTGCGCACTAAATTGTAATGATTAAATATTGTATAATGGTATTGAGATGTTTTTACGAATGTCTAACAATAAATGTTTCATTATTTGTATGAAAATAAGGTTTTCAATTGAAAAATAGAAGGGTCTAGCATAAATATAATAAATTAGTTGAGATATATTTCGTTCTTTCAGCTTTTCCAAAAAAAAATAAATGAGCTTTTTGTTTGAATAATCAATTTCATAAAAAAAATACTTTTCTTTATATAACATTTATTAATTTACCATTAGCCTTTCCCATATAAAAATTTCTAACCTCTAGAGAGGAAGGTGGGGGGGGGGGGGTTAATTCATTTTTACATTTCTCTTTATTCATTTCCGATAGAAAAAAAAATCTACCTTAAAAATGACACATTTCCCAACCAGGGTCTGCATAACGTACCGTCTCATATTGATACCATCTAGGCTGTCTCCGTTGCCGGTTACAAGGGTGTTGGGCGTAGCGTAACCGTTAGTTGTTTCAACGCTCTTATCTTAACAGATTTGATAGCGCAAAAAATATAACTTTGAAAGTAATAATCAAACTAATATAAGACAATATTATATTATTTTAAAAATCGTTAAGAAAAATTTATAAGTGATGTTCTCGACGATTTGGAAAATTTGGTGAAAGTGTCCTAATTCAAAATGCCTCAAAAACAAAATGTATTTCAATTGGTCAACAATAAAAACAAAAGTCCTCAGCAGTAATAAAAATTTGAAGATGTTGACAAGCGACATTACAAGTAATAATATATTCGTTTTACTGGAAGACAGCGAAGTATTGAGATTGGGGTTATTTGTTGTTGAGGGGGAAGGATGGTGGTAAAAGCGGAGATTGTAATGGAAAACGAGACTCGCCACAAGATCATCGGGCATTTCTAGTGTCAGGTTGGCGGCCCCGGTCTTGTCCGCTAAAAGAATGGCGCCTTTGACGTTAAAAAACGCGGTCTTTTTAAAGGTCGAATGGTTATAGCTAGGCGTTTAAACAGTTTTTTTTTAAAAAAAATTGATTAATAAAAAATATGTTATAATAAGCTTATTTAAGAATTATTCTCATTGGGCGAATTTTTCAAATTATGTTTCTCTCTCGCCCAATAGGAATGTAATTTCTCTCCCATCCTAAGCAAAAACACATCAAAATCTTGAGATGAGAGTTAAATTCAAAATTTAAAAAAATAAATCAATAAATAGGATATTAGGCTCGATCTGGTAAAGAGGACTTAATATCATATAATTAGATTAGAATCAATGACATTAATACTAACAAACAAGACTGTCGATTGATACATTAAAATGCACTAAAAGTGCATATATGAAGTCCGCCAAAGGATTTTAGGAAAATTCTTCTCAACGACGTCTTACCGCCAATAACATTGCTTGCAGATGATTCCAGTGTATGTACACTTTAAATAAATCGAACCCATTAGCCCTTAATAGTATTAATATGATAAATCGGCTATAGCAGTGTTGCTTAGCGCCCTAATTATTTGGCGTAACGATAGCGTATTCTCTTTTTTTTGCAAAAATTACGTTTACGTTTACTTTTATACTTTTAAAATAAATTACATTATTAAATTTTGTAATTAATTCTGCAAATTATAAATATTTAAATGTATGTTTTGAATAATTATGTTCCCATTTTGAGCATATCAACAGCAAAATTAAAAAGGGTAGGATAAGCTATAAATTATGAATAATTTAAAAACCCATAAAAAAATAGACAATATTTCAAAATAGGATGGTAAATCCAAATTTCTTGTGTGTACCCTCAAACGTATCTAATTTCGTTTTTAACTAAAGTAGAAAGTAGTCGCTTTCTTATGGTTAATCATAATTATCTTTAATTTTCTGATAGAAAACAAAAAAAAAACTTGCAATCGTTGGTCGAAAGTGAGGAATGATTGGGGGAAGAATAATGTATGGAATTCGTCGAATTATTGCCTTGATTGGGGTCTGGAGAAAAGGACAAGCCGTACTTGAAGAACAGGCTACGCACAAAGGGCAGATTTTCGAATTGCTTTTGTTTTAAAGGCAATTTTTATGATACATATATTTTCATTTCTTTATTTCAATTCTTTCGAGAGATATAAAATTTAAAAAAATATGTTAGAGTCGGGTAAATCAGCCCAAGTCCCTACAGAATTTTTGTAATGATTTTTTAAAATATTTACGTCGAACAATCATTCTTCATTTATGCTTTCCTTTATCAGCATAGTGCTTTTTGAATATTGGAGGAGGGGTAGGATTTAAATGTATTCATTTTACTAATTTCACTAAATATCACAAATAAATAATGATAATTTTAATCTATTTAGTTGTATCGCGTGAATTCAAGGTTATAATATTAATAATAAGGTGAGGTGATCCCTAATAACCTTCCCCAAATATTTATTTCTTACCTTTGCCATACATCTTATCAAACATTATATTCCAAGTTGCGTGTCTTTTCTACAAACTTTATTTAAGACACATTTGACGTAAATATTAAACAAAAATTGCAGAACCGGAAAAACCCTTAAGAATTTTTCGAAACCTAACCGAACCAGAACCTTTTTAATTTTTAAGCAGCTAAACTATAAGGGATTATAGATAAAGGTTCAGGTCTCTGTCTGCAGAAGATTTTACCTGCAAGGATAAGCAGGTGTCCAGCAGTTGCCATTCTGATTGTTTGGGGAAAAATTCGTAAATAAACTCTTCCGGGTCGGTGAGAAAATAATGATCGTCGTATTCGTAGCGCAAGTTTTCGGCTCCTTTGAGATTTTTATCCGCGCCGTGTTGATCCTTAACGAATAGATCAAGTGTTTTACAAAGTAAAAAGCGAATCATTTAATCATTCTTTCTTTTTTTTAAAGATAAAATAAATACGAGCAATATACTTTTCTTAAACTAATTCTTTCATTCTTTCTTATTTTCCATTTATTTGTGCATATCGTGTATGGCGATTTTTCAATAACCCGGTATTTCTTTCTTTCATTTTTTTTAAAATGTATATAACTTAGTGTTGTTAAACGGCTCATTATGAGCCGATTTATAAAAACTAGGAAAAATATTGTGCAAGCCTTAAGATTTTGCTCATAGGTGGCACAAAGGTTTGAACATCTATTAACGAAATTTCGAGAGTTGGACAATGTTTTTCTGGCAAAAATTTTGAGTTAGCCCTTTTTAAAAATCGGCTCAGGGGGGGGGGGGGGTGGGGGGTGGAAGGGAGGATTGCCTAGTAACAAGGGCATTAAGTGGTTATGAATAAAAAATACAGTTCTCAATAACCCGCTTTTATCTTTATTGAAGGATTCGTATAAATATGTGGCGTATAAAAAAACAACCTCCAAATCGTTATCGTCAGCTATCATTTCGGGGCTACTGCCCATTTTTCCATTGGCGGTAGCGTTTTCCTTGCCCTTATCATCGCCTCTTAGATTGGAATTATTGGAATTGTTAACCAAATGACGGGCACCCCAATTGCATTGCACGAATCTCCAGGAACCGTCTAGGTAAGCCGCGTTCCAGGTATTCCGGAAGCGTTTTGAATTGATAAGATTGTCGCTGGAGGCTGGGAGGAAACAAAAATAAAATAAATACTATTTATTTTAAAAAAAAAACATCATATATATGTGGTGTATCAAGATTTTCTCTAATTATATTGATGTAGTTAATAAGTGTCAATTATTCTTTTTAGCTGCTTTTGAGGAATATATATAATTATTATTTAATTTTTTTATTTTGTTGAAGGATTTATTACACTAAGAAGGGTCAAGATAATTATATCTTATTCCCTTTCACAATTATTTTATATAATTAAATTTTATGTCTAAGTTTGTTATTTTTTCTTCTCCGGGTACATGATAATGGGTAATGATGCATAGCGTTGGACATTGGTTTTTCATATAAATCGGAGAGTCATAAATTATCCTAATAAAAAATATAAAATAATTGATTTAGAGTGGCAGGTGCGGCACGAAGCTATTTTTTCTATACCATTCTGAAACTGGGTGGAAGGTAGTAGGGTAGGCTTGAAGTTAGAATGATATGAGCTAACGTTCATTATATAAATATTAGCAAAACTTTGGAGGTTGCTTTTTTAGTAAAATAGTTCTTATCATAACCGTAGCTGTATTTCATTTACCATGTTAATTATAGGTTATATTAGCACACATTGGTGGGTCTCTTGCCTTCATCATTTAAAAGTTAATATTCCCCCCATAATAATATTTATTTAAAAAGAAAATAAAACTGTGCTATCATGTTATTTTTTTTTGAATCGAAAAAAAAAAGAAGAAGAAGAGATATGTTCATACGGGTCTGGTTTAGTAGCGAGGAAGGGGCCGACATTTCGAATTTCATTCCGGGCAAATAGCCCGCGCTTTTGGAATACCCTCTGATGACAACGCAATGAAGGCCGGCGTAACTATTTAATAAAATAAAAATATTTTCAAGAATCTCTCTTTTAAGAGCGTGCGGCATATATATATTTTTTTTAAAAAAAATGATATTAAATATATTCTAATAATTCAAAGTTTTTTTTTTATTTAGCGGGAAAAAAATAAAATATTGTTTAATCGTTTCGTAAAATATTTTTAAATTTTATATAAATCTAATATTTAATAATTTTAATTAGACGAAGATAGATTAATTGCTAAGCGTTCGAAAAAGAACAATCAGGTAACTAAAAATTGCTCTATATCGTAGCCAAATAGATATAACTAATATACTGTACGAACTAAGGTGTTAAGTAACTCTTAAGATTTATTGGAATCCCAAAGTTCCAATGAAAGAGAGGAGAGCAGACATGTAAGGGATTACACAATGCATATAAGAAATTTTTTTTTAAAAATAAACAAACATATCCGCATATTGTTTTTTATACAAAAATAAGTTTTGTGTTTTAATAAAATTAAGTCCTTAAAAAAAAAATTATATTATTAATATAAGAAAGAATAAAACCTGCAAAGTCTCTTGAAAAGCATGTGATAACTCTCAGTTCCCAGTTTGATTCCCCTTAACAACCCTGTTTGATATTGATAAAAATTTCGAATATTTTTATTAGATATAGATGATTGTTTAGTAGATTTTTTTAATATCAAAACTCCAAAAAATAAACGAAAGGCAAACATATTAATTATCGCAAAAATAAATAATGTCTTTTTCCCTTTTAAATTTCTTATAGGCATCATATTTATTATAATTAAATTTATTATATGTCATTGTCCGTTACCGAACTATTGATTCGAAAGTGTAAAATTTATTTTTAATAATCATTTGATATTAAGATTTTTTAACAATAATGAGGAAATTTCATAATATTAAATTTTATCCATATGGTTCTCGTCTGAGCTAGGAAGAGACAAAAACCATGCACTCAAATGATTGGGCACAAAAAAATCATATTACAAAATATTCTCAATCCATTTTTCTAGATAATCATAGATATATAACATTTTTGCAAAATCTATATTATTTTTAAAGGAGATAATACATATTTTAAAAAATAAATTTTTGATTAAAAATGGGCTAATGAATATTAATTTAACGATATCATAAATAGGGGTTACGATGCACTACTTAACCGATGTAATAAATTATAATAGAATATATGGTCGGAAGCGCTTAAATGTAAAGGGTTAAGGATAAGGAAATGTTCCATTTTCTTCCACCATTTAACCGATTCGATGTATTAGAAAAATTATCTTCTTCATTAAAAAAAATAAACCCATTGGGGTATCCGAACCAACATCAGAGTCGAAAGTCATGCGATTCAGGTTTATTATAGTTATCCAACGAAAAAGGGCCCTTCAAAAAATAATTAAAAAAAATAAAATAGTCATTATACCGTATATTTAGCGTTGTTAAACTACCTAACTTTAGTCAACTATAAAACAGCGTAGCCATATTTTTTATTAAGAAGTATTCGAATCAATCTTCAAGTTGAGGCTTAACTTAGAAGCTTAATTCAACTTTTTAGACTAAAAGCTTCACTAGGCCATAGTAGAGATCATAGGCGTAGCCAGGATTTTCCTAAGAGGGGGAGGGGAGAATTAAAAAAATTTCTGGGGCTTCGTCCCCAGACCCAATTTTGGGCAGTGCTCGACCTTCGACCGGGTTACCTTAGTCTATACATAGTAATAAAATATTTTTACAAGGGAGGAGGAAAAATAAGCCTGGAACAAATATGAAATATATTTTTTATTAGTTTATATAAAATATAATAAATTACTTGTATATACATATACATAAAAGCTTGCTAATAATTTATTCCAAACAAATATAAGATATTTATTTATAAAAAGCAAGTAGGCATATAGTTGATATTCCTCTATTTTATAGAATTCGTTACAAAATACTAGTAAAATTCCACTTTTACAGACATATTTGACAGTTAGAGAATGTATTACATTTAATATTTTAACAAATTTTACTAATCAATGCTCTTGATAATAAATAAACCAACAATATGCATTCAATTATTTAACGCCATCTATTTATTTTAAATAAAAAATGATATTAAAAATTAATCTTCATATTATTTATCCCACAATGTCTTTAAAAGATATTTTCTGATGTCCTTATTAATATTTTATAGTTTTCTGTAAAGTATATAATTCGCTATATTGGTAAAAATTACTAGATTGTCATATGATAATTTATAAAATTAGATACTACCTCTCTCCCAAAATCCTACCTTCAGCCTCATCGTGGCGGGGGAGTGGCAACGTCTTTTGGCGGCAAATGGAGGTCTAAAAGGTTCCCTGTGATCTGGGTCTAGAATAGGATCACCACCGTCTCCTCGACGGGGTGTAAAAACCACTTAAAGAGGTTGATGTCAGGAAGGGCATCCGATTGTAAAAACCATGCTACAAAAATTTCCCTATGGTTACAACAAAGCATGGGCGGGGTACAGCCCAAAGTACCCCGTGGGCCTCCTCATCCGCCTACGACAAAAAGAAGGATGGGAAACCTGGTGGAACCACTATTCATGAAAATGAAACCTATGACGGCCATAAACGACCTAATAAAAAGTGGAGAAACCAGTTTACGGGTGATCGAGTTAGGGTCGCGACATGGAATGTTGGGAGTATGACGGGAAGAGCGGGAGAAGTCGTCGATGTATTGCACAGAAGACATATAGATGTGTGCTGCATACAGGAGACTAGATGGAAAGGAAATGGGACCAGAATGATTGGCAAGACTAGCGAAAAGTATAAATTCTTTTGGCAAGGAGGTAATGATGGTAAGGCTGGAGTTGGGGTATTGGTTGCGGAGAAATTGGTAGACAAAGTAGTCGAAGTGAGAAGGCTAGACAACCAGATAATGGTTATCAAGATGATTATTGGTAGAAAGCTATTATATAATATGATCTCGGCATATGTTCCTCAGGTTGGAAGAAGGGAAGAAGAGAAAGATGTATTTTGGGACAGTCTATTGGGGGTGACATCGAGACTGGCAAATGAAGAGGGGATTATCCTGGCTGGCGATCTGAATGGACATGTGGGAGCCAGTAGTGAGGGTTATGAAGGAGTACATGGAGGGTTCAGTTATGGCATGAGAAATTTGGAAGGAGAGAGGATTTTAGAATTTAGTGATGCTATGGATATGATTGTTTGTAATACAATGTTTAAGAAAGAATCAGAGAAGCTGGTGACTTATAAGTCGGGTAGTACCAAAAGTGTTGTGGATTACTTGTTATTAAGGAGATGTGATCGATGTATAATAAAAAATGTGAAAGTGATACCGGGAGAGGAATGTATAAATCAGCATCGACTAGTTGTAGGAGATCTCACTCTTAAAGGTGCCAGGGTCACTAAAAGAAAGTTTGTCCCAAGGCTGAAGGTTTGGAAATTGAAGGAGGAGAATGCTAGACGTCAATTCAATATGGCATTGGCGATTAGGGAGGCGGAGGTGGCACAAGCATCTGCATCTGGGGTGAATGACAAGTGGGAAGCCATGAAGAAAGCTTGGGTAATGACAACTGAGGAGGTATGTGGATGGACAAAAGGGCCGCCTAGACATAAGGAGACTTGGTGGTGGAGCCCAGAGGTAGCGAAAGCCTTGGATGAGAAACGGAGGTGTTTCAAAGTATGGTATAATAGCAAAGAAAATAGTGATAATGTTATTTACAAGATGGCTAAAAGAAATGCTAAGAAATTAATAGCGAAGGCTCAAGAAGAAAAAAGACACGAGTTTGCTAAAGAAATGAAATGCGCTGATGGAATTGGAAATATGGTTAGAATGGCAAAACAGATGTCAAAAAAGAGGCAGGATGTGATAGGTGTAAAGTGTTTGAAAAATATGGAAGGAAAAATGACGATTGATAGTAGTGGTATTAAGAACACCTGGAAGATTTACATGAAAGGACTTTTGAATGAAGAAAATGAATGGAATAATAATATTAGTTGTGCAAAGGTAGAAGGTCCAGGGTGTAAATTTGGCAAGGACGAGATAAGGAGAGCAGTGAAAAAGATGAAGAAAGGGAAGGCATCGGGTTTAATTTAACGATGGTGGTATCAGAGATGTTTAAAGGTTCTGATGATTTAGGGATTGAATGGTTAATGAATTTAGCAAATCAGATTGTCACAGAAGGTACTATTCCCGAGGACTGGCGAAGAAGTATAATTATCCCAGTATACAAGGGGAAAGGTGATCCTTTAGATTGTGGGTCTTACAGAGCTATTAAACTCTTGGAACATGCAATGAAAGTTTTTGAGAGAGTGTTAGAAAAGCGGATAAGGGAACAAATCAAAATTGATGAAATGCAGTTTGGTTTTACATCGGGAAAAGGCACGACAGATGCAATTTTTGTGGTGAGACAAATTCAGGAGAAGTATCTTGCGAAGGAAAAGAAACTCTATTATGCGTTTGTTGATTTGGAGAAAGCATTTGATAGGGTGCCGCGTGAGATTACAAAATGGGCCTTGAGAAAATCCGGTGTGGAGGAATGGTTAGTTACCGCAGTGATGGCAATGTATGTTGGAGCACAAACAGCAGTACGGACGGATCATGGTGATAGTGACAGCTTTGAGGTGAAGGTAGGACTTCATCAAGGATCCGTGCTGAGGAGTCCATTATTATTTATCTTAGTAATGGATGTGGTGGCTAGAGAAATGCGTGAAGGACTTCCCTGGGAGATATTATATGCAGATGACCTTGTATTAATGGCAAACAGTGAGGGAGAATTGAGGGATAAAGTTAGTAAATGGAAGATGACTATGGAAGCAAAGGGCCTGAAAATGAATGCATCAAAAACAAAGGTGATGATTGGTGGGGAAAATCTAAAGATAGAAGAATCAGGTAAGTGGCCTTGTGGTGTATGTGGGAAAGGAGTTGCTAGAAATTCTATCCAATGCACCAGATGCCAGAAATGGGTACATAAAAGATGTAGTGGGAAAAAAGGCAGTTTGATGTTAGAAAGAATGACCTTTATTTGTAAAACATGCATGAAAGGGATACATAATAATGATAACCTAAAAAATGGTGGTCTGGATATTGGCAATGGGTTAACCCTAGAAAAAGTGGATAAGTTTTGTTATTTAGGTGATATGCTAAACGCAGATGGTGGTGTAGATTCTGCTGTTGTTGCAAGGATCAGACAAGCTTGGAAGAAGTTCAGAGAGATGTCATCTATTCTATTCTTACAAATAAAAAAGTTTCTCTGAAGTTAAAGGGGAAAGTTTACGTAAGCTGCGTGAGGAGTTGTTTAGTTTATGGCGGTGAAACATGGGCAATGAAAGCAATTCACGAAGCCAAATTAGAAAGAACAGAGATGAGGATGGTTAGATGGATGTGTGGGGTATCTCTGAGAGAGAGAAAAACTAGCAAGGAATTGCGAGCAAGATTAGGTATAGAAATGATTGGTATGGTAATGCGACGAAATAGACTAAGATGGTTTGGGCATGTGGAACGTATGACAAGAGATGACTGGGTAAAGAGATGCACAATGATGGAAGTAGGAGGATCAAGACCTAGAGGAAGACCCAAGATGACGTGGACAAATGTGATAGCGGCGGATATGAGAAGCTTGAATCTTACAAGTATTGATGCTCAGGACCGTCAAAAATGGAAAAGAAAAATCAGAGGGAAAACTGGCCTACCCGGGTAAACCTGGAAATCGCCATAAAACGGAGAAGAAGAAGAAGAAGATATACTGTAAATCTACATCATATAATATTCCACTGTTTGTATTGTGCTTTAATATTTTTATTTAATTTATGATTTATTTTATTAAGATAAATATATTAAAATTACTCACTTTATAATTTTATTATTTAGTAATTTTATGGATCCATTATTAATAATTATAATACATTTCATTTTTGTCTTAAGACTTAACTTTGGCTTATATTCCATTTCTTAAAAAACATTTTTGGTTCACTTTTTTTATATACAAATGCTTTTTTACAAAAATGTATAAATTATGATGAATAGTTTTATAAAAAAATATCAACTTTTACATTCTTTCTTTCAAATTATTGTTTAAGATATATGCATACATTTTTGGGAGTCAGGGAGTGGGGGGAGGACTAAGGTGTATATTTTTTTTAGCTTAAAATGATATTCACAAAAAGTGATAAATTTCTGAAGGAGGGGGGGAATTTCCCCTTATCTCCCTTGGCTACGCCTATGGTAGAGATGGTCAAAATTAGATAATTTAACAACACATAATATAAATATAGGAAATGTAAAGATGAAAGTTAAGAATATTCTAATCCAACAAATACTAACAAACAAACAAAAAACCTAGCTTTTTGCACGTCAGTGTTACAATGGCGAGTCAATTGCCTAACCAGGTCGGTAAACGAATTTTGATTTTTGGACGCGATCTGAATAAACATAGAAATATATGAGATATTTTCCCTTATATGGCGTTGGTTAAATTGCTCGAATTTGTATTCTTAGAAAAAAATGGGTAAACCCGTTAATTCGGCCAAAAAATTATCGCGTAAAACCTGGAGATTTTGCTCATTAGAAAATGGTGGAAAAAATTTAAATTCTCGTGATTTGCGGGTAATATTATTTGGACTAAAATCTTAATTTTAGAAAATCGGCGAAATCGAGCTTTTTAACCAACGTTAACTTTCCCTTTAATGGATACTAATCAGCAGGAAGATCCACACGCTACATACTTTCGCTCCTACATATAGGATTTTTTTGAAAGTCGAGATTTAACTCGGCCAGGTAAAATGATCCCGCCAAAATTTTCTACCAAATTTTATATTATATTATGAAAGAAAACCTATTATTAATAAAGGCTTTTTTTTGCCATTATAGTTGTTATTAAATGTCCTTTTTTAAAAAGATAAATTTATTGATATTGGATTATCTTACCCCCGAGGTCGAGACGAAATATTAATTGAGGTATTTATATTCAATCGATATTTAAATATGGATAAATATTTCGTCTCATAGGGGTATGATGAATAAACCAATAATATTAATAAATTTTGTCTGATGAAAAAAAGGAAAGTTTCCATTTAATCCCACGATAATCTTAACATTTTAATATTTATTTAAAAAAAATGCCATATTTTATTAGTTATAATAATAAACTTATGTCTTCTGGTATTTAAATACTTTTGGTGGACATTTTTTTGTATTTTGTATTTGATTTATTTTTTAAATTTTCTGGTTATCCCATAATGTAGGGGCCTGCAGATCTCTTATGATAGTCTCGTATAACAAAATTGTATATTCGAAGAGTAAAATGATAGGCTTTATGAAATATATATTTAAAATTTTATACGAAATGAAAGGTTCTTAAAAAAATATATAGTAATTCGTAATAGACCAAAAAAATTCGTAATATTGGAAAATTTATATAGATATATATATAAACATTGATGGCTCTTTGGTCTATTTCTTCGAAAATTGAGGGATCGCTGTAGAGCTGAGCTTTGAGGCATTTAGGTGGTTTGGGTGCGGGAGCTTCGGTATTGATGTTGAACAACGAACTCTAAAAGGAGATATAAATGAAAAAAGGAGAGAAATTATTGTAATATGGAAACGTGTGAATTAATAATATAGATATCCTCAAATCGTTAATGATTGAAAAGATATCTTTAAGGATAGGGTTGCTATGATTTAATCAAAATAATTCAAATGGCCTATACCTGACTTTTTTTGCATTATTGTTAGTTATTTATAAATACTCAAGAAAATAATTTTTATTATTTTTCTAGAGGATTATATTTTTTTAAGTAACACATAAAATATTTAATAATACGTGATTGTAAGCGCACCGCTCCTTTTCGCTAAATGAGATAGCGGAACTATGCTTGGATTCTCTCAGGTCCCATCTAATTGCATAAATAAATTGGGAGCAACCTAAGAGAGAAGCCCATCCACAAATTTTTTGGCAGGCTAGTTAACTATGCACGCAAACGGCAAAGCCCCTTACTTAAACGCCCTGATTTAATAAAGTCGTGATTCATGGAGGGGGTAGTGTTAGTGGCCATACTTGGTTATATGATAAATTTGAAGTGTGAAATTAATAACGTGTTTATATCATGTGTGCGAGGAATAAAAGTGGCGCCATAAGGATGATTGTAGGGGTTTTGTTTTATCAGTTTTCGAACGTCAAACTGAGGAGGATTTCTAAACACACTCCATTCCAATCAACCCTCAAAAGAAGTAGGATACAATTCTACGGACACGTGATACGAAATTGAAAACAAAATATAGTGCACGAAGCCCTGACATGGCTGCAGTCCTGCATAAAGAAAAACATAGGGCAAATACAAATCATATTGGCTGAACAAGTCAAGACGTATCGAGTTTAAGCCTAAACATAAAACAGTTAGTAGCTGAGCAATAACAAAAATTCCAGTAAAAAAAAAACTACTAAAACTACAACACGGGTGCATAAATCAGCTAAATCTTTCCGATCATCCCTAAGGCGCCACTTTTATTTCTCACACACGTGATAAACGCCTCATTTACTTCACACACATGATAAACACCTTATCTATTTAACACTTCTATATATTAAATTATCAAGTTAATATAAAATTAAGATAGCCATTTCACCCCTCCAAAAATCAAAACTTTATTTAATCGGGTGGTCGGGCTTGTTTCTACCATTTTATTAAAGGACTTTACCGCTTGCAAGCAAATGTAACTGCACCCTGCCCAAATATTTGTGGACAGGCTCCGCTCTTAGGTTACCCCCAGTTTCTTAATCCAATCAGATAGGATTTGATAGTCTAAGCGTAGTTCCGCTATTTCATTTCAGCGAAAAGGGTAATGTGCTTACAATCACGTACCATATTATAACTTGATTTGAATCTTTTTAAAAAAATTGTTATTTTTGCCAAGCCCTATATTTTTCAATCAGAGTGTGGAAATTAAAGTGAATTAGATATTAAATATCAAGCTATTTATATTTTTTTTCAAAAAAGGCATTGATTTTTTCAAAATCAATTAACATTTTTACTACATGACACCTTTTTGAATATTATTTAAATTTATTTTATAAGAATATGTGAAAATTGTTTAATGGCCCTAGTCCTGAGCTTAAAAATTATTGATAATATTTAAAAACCATCAATTTATTTGATCTTATATTTATGAACACTAACAACAAGATTCAAATTAATTAGTATTTATTTTAAATATAAAATTTCAACGATAATAAAATAAATTTAAAGATTTTATACATCAAAATATTTAAATTGAAAGACTAATTTTTTTTAAAAATCTTTTTCCAGCCCGAAGTTTATTTCCGGCCAAAAGGGGAAAACATTCTTTTTCTTCAGAAGCCCCTTCTTTCTTGCTTGCTTTCTTTCCTTCCAGAGTTGATCGAAGATTAACGATTATATTTTATTAATAACAAGTTCGCTACTCATTGCTCGACATTTGTAAGATATGTTCGATTATTATTTTTTGCGATATATCTAAAGATTTTGTGAATTGAAATCAGTATCTTTCTTTATAAAATATCATTTGAGGCTGATATTTTATAACTTTTTTTTGGTAAATTATTTTGTCAATTTCGATGTTTATTTCACAAATTTCTAAAATATGCTTGGATACTATTTATTGGTCTGCTTGCTGTGTTTTGTATAATCCTACCCAGAATCATTTAGAGCGCAAAATGATTTTTTTTAAAATTTGAATCTCTAAATCTTTAAGAGTAGGTATTAAATAAAATATATAAGTAAAACATTCCCAAAATTAAAAATTTTATTCCGCATCTTCAACAAATATAATACATTAACCAGCAAACTAATGTTTATAACCCCTGCTATCAAATAAATTTTTTAATAATAAGACCATGTAGTCGTGTCAAAGCTTGGATTATTTCTAAGCATCCATCTGTTTAGCCGCTTGCATAGCCTTCTCTAAACAACCTTTTTTTAAAAGAAGGAGACTATTATGATTCACCCCCAAGTCAAAAAATATAAATACAACGAGTAATATTTATTTAATCAAGCCTAAAACAACCCAGAATAGGGGTGTCATAATTCAAAGGCTGAATAGCGTAGGCTAAAGAGAAATAAGTTTCGAAAATGATCTGACAGTTGACAAGGCCTATCTTTTTAAAATTGTAAAACTTAGTGTTGTTAAACGACTGTCAATCTCAATATTTTAGGTAGAAAAATATTGTCTAAGCCTCGAGATTTCGATAACATATGGCTAGAGACTTTTGTTCCTTCTATAAGCAAAATCTTCAGGCTTGCGTAATATTTTTCTGGATGAAATAATGAGATAGCCGTTTTAGAAAATCGGCTCAAAACGAGCCGTTTAACAACACTAGTAAAACTAATTTTTCTTAAATTTTTTTTAAAATTTACACATTTTCAATGCGTTTAAATTAAAAGAAACGTGAGGGTATTCTCCTTTTTATGAATAAATTAAAGATATCGAATAAATAAGATAGCTTTGATCATATTCCAACCTTCCTTTTAAAAATAAATCTGATTTAAATAAAAAAAAAAATTTTTTAAAGGTTTTTTTAAACAATGATTTAAATATACCCAGCTTCTAATTAAATCAATTAAAATTCATAAAGGGAGATATAAACCCCCTTATTATCCTGTTCACTGCCCTTGGTGCAAGAGTTGATACTGGAATCGACTGGGGCGTTTTTAGCCAAAGGCAGATTCTCGAAAACGTCCAAGCCTTTTCTCCTTCCACCTCCTCCAGTTCCAATCTTCCCGTTCGGGGTATGCGAATATTCCCCAGTGTGACCGGCGTCATTGTCGCCTTTCAGTAATTTCTTCCGACTTCGGAGAGTTGTAAACCTGATTTTTTTTCCACAAAAATTGATATTGAAGCTAAAATAATGTTTTTATTATCCCTAACCCCTATATTCCTTCTTCTTTTTTTTGGTGAAATTAATATCGTCTGAAATTAACTTATTATATCAATAATCATCTAAGATCAAACCGGAAGTTAAAAGGTTTAATCAGATTTCCTCAATATTAAAAAAAAATTTAAAACCTTATAAATGTTAGATATCTTGTCATATGTTTTAAGCGAGAGAACTAGGTATAATTATGTTATAAAAAAACGAGAAGGAACAACTTCCGGTCATTGATCTCCGAAATATTTAAGTCTCAATTCACCCCGCCCCGCTTCCATTTCCGCCAGTTCACTATTTTATCTCCTTTGGGGTATTCTATTTCATCTATTTATTTATCCTTGTAAGACTTGCCCATTTAGAAATTCGTTATAAATATAAGCGGACAACGAATGGGTAATTAAATCACAGGATATTGAGCACAAATAGATGTCGGCATAAACCGGCTCTAAAAACTGGCAATTTTCGGTTCGAGCCCGGCAATTTGTGGCGAAATATTTTTACGGACATTGCCCAAAATTTTTTTAAAAAAGTTTAAATTGGGCTAATATCTTTTTTCCTTCGTATATAAAAAAAATATCAAGGGTTGGGTGCACGAGTACAAAATTATTTAAAGGGACGGACAGAATTAAAAATACCCTTCCACCATCATCCCCTTCCCCATAATTAGATAATCTAAAAAGAGTAAGATAATCGATAATGTACCTGAGCATTTGGGAGGCGTGGTTTTCCATGAGTCGGGCGGCTTCGGTTCTCTCGTAATCGACGAGTACCCGCGAAAGGGCGTCTTTTTCCCGATCCCTTTTAATCGTCATACGTTTTTCGAGCATGTCGATGGCGTCCGCGGATACGGACGGGTGGGTAGTGGAGGCGAGCGGCTTTTTGACGAATGAATGGCAAGGGGATGCCCGGGCAATATTCGAGATGGGCGAATTGGATGGGGAGGGCTCTGGTGATGGGGAAAAAAGAAATAAATGCAAATAAGGAATAAAATTTACAAATTTCTGCTTTCCTCAGGGCTCGTACAAAAAAAATGATTGATTAATACTACAATATGCAGTAGTCGATAACCAAAAAAAAACTATTTTTAACATGATTTATAACAAAAGGAATATGCATATGGGCAAAGGGCTAATTTTGGTTAAAATTTTGCTCTAAAGGTATAGGGTATAATAGTTAGCACAAATTGAGCGTTTACGTTTCGTTATAATTTTTGAATAAAAAAAACGTAACGCGTCTCTTGTTAAATTGAGGATTCTTTTCATTAATATCCGTCGATTCAAAATTTTAAATAAGTTCTTTAAAAAAAGAAGAATTTGTCTTTGAAAATTATATTATCGTCTGCGTTCTTATTTCTTTAATTTCTAAATATTAAAGTAAAGGTGAGTTTTTCACAAAAAGTGGTGGGTTTAGGCCTAAACGTGAAATGAAAGGGTTAAATTAAAAATATTTTTGTATAATTAATTATATTATTCGTATTTGATTTGAATATTGGTTAACATAAAATATTTTTTATACTAAAATAACATAAAATAATTTAAAACAAGAATTAATTTTAGGGAAAAATGGGATATTTTTATTAAAAAATAGAGGTTACAATGATCTAGACCGCCATTTTGTCTGAGGACCGTAGTCAGGTCTGTGATTATCGGTCAGGTCGGAACCAAAGACTGGACAATGACATTCGCTACACCGAAATAAAAAAATTTTTCTATTCTCTATATTTTTATATTTTCTTAAACGTTTAAGCTTTGAGTCTGGCCCGGGGTTAGATTTATCCTTAAATTTAGACCAGCGCAGTTTCTGGTCGACTTGCTGGGCTCTAGCGTTAGGTGAAGAAAGTTTTCAATATATAATTATGTAGTCACGAGTTTTATCAATTTTAAAATATTTTACCGGATGACATTTTGGAGTGGGGCGATGACGATTGCTCGAATTTTTCTCTCAGCTCGGCTAACGCCTTGTGAAACTCTTCCTTGAATTTCGCGTCGAGATTTTTCTCTTCTTGAAGTCTTTTGCGCGCGAAAGTGGCGTACATCTCGTCTTCTTCGGCCCTGAGCCGCTTCTCGAGGTCTATTTGACTTTCATAATCCTATTTGGGAAAATAAAAAATTGAATAGGTTATATGTAAAAATAAGTCAAAACCTAGAATTCTTATAATGCCTAATTTTTAGATAATTTTTACATTATTTTTAGCCATTTTAGGAGAATAAGGATAAAAGACTTAATTAAGCTTTTAGCAACCTTTTTTTTGTTATAAAGTCAATTATAATAATTTATGAATTTACGCAAGGCATCTAAACCAGCCCTATCAAAATAGAAAGGAAAATTCCATAACTTTTTGAAACAATAATAAAGAGCAAATTATATTCAAAATAACAAAATGGCCGGCCAGTAAAATAATTTTCAAAAAAAAAATTATGGCTTAGCGGAATCAAATCCGCTAGTCCTAAAAAATGACTCCGAAGGCTTGTGGTCAATATTTTTAAAAATAAAAAGTTATCCTTATTTCAATTGGTCGATTTTCCCTATTCCCTATTTGTATTGGTCAATCTAAGGGCCTGCCGTGTGATTAGGGTTAGTTTATAAAGCGATTGTTTGGATTCCTAAAACAAATTTGCCTCCGCAGGCTTGTGATCAATCTTAAAAAAGTTATCCTTATTTCCATTGGTCGATTTTTCCCATTCCCTATTTGTATTGGTCAATCTAAGGGCCCGCCGTGTGATAGGGTTAGTTTCTAAAGCATATTGTTTAGATAAGTAGACGATAAATCATTTTTTTGAAGTCATAATAATATATATATTATTTATAAAGTAATAAAAAAAAATAGAGAGAAAAGAAAATAGAGGAGAAAGAATACAAAATTCAATTATATATTTATACTTATTTTACATACTTATAAAAATATTAAATAAATAGAAAGGCCATCAAATTATTAAAATTATGCAAATTACGGGTCAAATGTCAAAACGCGCAAACAAAATCGTTAAAAGAAAATATATTATATTATATAATAATAGTAATAAAAATTATTTTATTTTGACTTATAAAAATAGAAGGATACTATAAAATTATAAATAATCAGGGACTTAAGGAAGGACATTTGAGAGGAAATAAAAAACATAATATTAGGAATTTTTTTAAAAAAAACCGTTTTTTTTATGTTTTTTATTTTTTTTTATTACTTAGAATTTACTACAATTTTTATGAAAAATATAATATGCCAACCATTATAATTATCATACCAATATTTTGTGTATACTTAGCAAATTTTTCTTTATCACAATCATTTTAAAATTTGCTCGTTTAAATTGTCTTGTTTAGGCCTCATTTATAGTAAACGCGTTATGTACAAGCGTTGCGTTTTTGCTTCTAATCGAAATCACAGCTGATTCTTTATAGCGTTAGTATAATTTTTGAAATACTTCGACGCAACATGTTTTTCTAGCGTTTTCATCATTTTGTTCTATATTTATAAATTATACATATTCATTGGCTTGATTTGGTAAATAACGCATCGTCAAATAACGCGCCGCTTGAAAAACGCGTTTACTATAAATGAGGCCCTAGTGTTTGTTATTTATAAAAACTAACATCTAATTTTATATATTTTCATTTTTAACAATTTCGTTAAAATATAAGCTTGTTTTTCTTTGTTTTGTTTAGTTTTTATCGCTATTTTTTTCCAGTTTTTTTAAATCTTAAAAAACAGTTTTTTGTATCTCTTTTTTACATCCCCACATAATATACCATTATTAATCGTTTTTATAAAACCTTATTAAATATACAGTAAAGATGGAAAATTGTGAAATTATAGCAAATGTATAATTCTAGATCTAGAATTGTTAAAAATAATCACGTTGATTTCTTTTGAAAGGTGAAAATAAAACAGTAATGTGTTTGTTTAATAATAATAAACATCCACCAGGAATATAAATAATTTAAAATTGAAGAAACAGAATCCCTCTTTCAAAATTTATAGGAAACCGGTTTAATAAAATATACAATTTTTTTCAAAAAAAAATTATTTCCGCACCGGAATTAGAGCTGTTATATAATCCAGTTCAAATTCCAAACTGGGGGTAGCGAAATACGGAGCCACGAAAACCACCCTCCTCCCCCCATCATTTGAAATCATTGATGTTAGGGTCCCTCTAAAGACCAAAATATTTATTTATAAGGTCTGATACTGGTTCACTTTTCTAACGCCGCGTTTAACCCTACATTCATAGCACGAATGCATATTATATATATTTCGCTGCAAATTTGTACTAATTATGAATGCGGAATAAAGCCAATGACATATAATAATATCTAGACCGACGATGCATTCATAATAATGCATTTGAAAGCGTAGTTGAATACAAATCAGCTGGACCCGCCATTTTGGTAACTCATATATAGTAATTATTCTCATGTTAAAAACTACTAATAAATTGATAACTTGCTTCCTTATTATCTCTATGATCAGGCAATTCTTTAATAAAATTTTGTGTCAGATATAGGAATAAAATGCCCTATCGTTTAAATTTTTTTAATAATGATATGGGTAAAAATGGCGTCCCCAGCTGTTTTCATTGGTGTACACTTTTAATTAATGCATTGTCAGTCTAGGCATTATTATACGTCTTTGGGTAAAGCGCTTTCAATTCAATATGAAGAAATCAATCAATATAATTTCGTATGAATTATTTTATAAAATTTAAAACACCCGATATAATAAATTATATTTAATCGTTTCGATGCGAATCATACGATTCGTGAGATTGAAAATTGAATTTCGAACTTCTAACTTTTTAACACTGAAAAGCGTTTTTAAACGCAGCGTTAAAGAAAGTGATTCAAGACGGCCTTTAAAAAAAAGAATACTGACTATAATGTCGGCTTAAGAGGACACCCCCCTCCCCCGGATTTCGATAAGGCCAATTTATTTGTACTCCCACCCCCGTGGAAGAGGCCCCAGGGGCAACTTTTTATTTTTTGAAAAGAAGCGGTAGCTTTTTAACAAAAGGCTCCGATCCTATAAACTGGTAGAGGTATTTATAATAGTTTAATTTTTTTTTTCCTTCTTATATTCGAAATTAGTCAGGACAGGATAGCCAAACACGGTTTATAGCCGTATTTATTCTAACCGAGGAATTGGGCATGTGCACGCGTTTCTCCGATCCTTCATAGATAACCCTACCCAATAACGCCACCAAACTCTGCATCCATTGCCCACAAACGTTTCTTCTCCAAATCCGTTATCGTACCACCACCACCCCTGTCTCGTAATTCTGCTGTCGCATTCACATTTATCTCTTCGATTTCTTTTCCTGTTACGCGATCCCAGATGTTTGACTTAAATCACGTAAATATGCCATGGCTGCCAATAAAAAAATAGCTTATATATCACGTGATCCCGCTATTTTCTACGGAAGCGCTTTCTGTACATCGCAATTTCTATTGTTGTTCGTCACACGCGTATACGAACAAATAAAAATGTAGAAGGGGAAAAAACATTTCTTTCCCCTAATTTCTTTTTCCTATAATTTTCCAGTTCGAAAAAAGCGAATACAGTCAAGGTGGAGGAGGGGGGGGGGGGTTATGATCACTATCCTTTCTTCTCTTTTTTAATACGAAAAGTTTCTTTACAAAGAATGTCACACCAACCATTTTTTTAATAAAAAGATTTTTGTTTAAAAATTGTTTAAAAAAAAGGTTATAAAAATATCTCTTTCATTATATTCATCATGATGGTTGTAAATAAATAAATAAGTAATCAACATTTCCTGAAATAAGTTTATTATTTTTTTTCGCGTCTCTTTATTCAAAAAATATGCGCTTATTTTTTTTTCGCGAACCTATGACAAAACGCGCTACAAGTCACATATATATTTTTTATTTTTTTCTTCCATTGTTCTTCTGAAATAAAAATTTATTTTAAGGAATTTAAAATAATCTTCATAATTTTTTATTAGCATAAAATCGTTATAAATACCAAGTACGTATTGAGCGAGTGGATCCGTTTCCTTTTTCTTAATTCGGTTTCCTTACATATAAATACGCTTTAAAGATACTTTCAAACATAAAAAGTTGGGCGGATCTATGGATGAAACTCTTCAGCCCCAGAGAGGAGATTAAAATCCAATGTGTATATATACTACAGATTTAGCGATTCATTAATTAAAAGTGGCCATACATAGGAATCAGCTGTAGCGTGTTATGTCGCTTGCGTTTCGACTAATTGTCTTTATTTATCATTATATGAAAGCATATTAAATGTCATTTTGACCATACGTTGCAAACCACAGCTGACTCGTATGTACGGACACTTTTAAATGTATTTAATTAATGAATCACCAATCTTAGTAGTATATATACATCATTGAATCGGGGATGGGAAAATCCGGTCTCATCTTTGGATTATCGTTACCAGATTTCCATAAAAAATCACTAAAAAAATTATTAATTTTTAAGGCTGTGTCCTAAATATCAAAAATATAGTTAGCCGAAACTTTAACGAAAAAAAAGTAAATAAGCTGTTTTTAATATAAAAATAAAAACATGTCCTAAGCATAATTCTAGAAAATATTAAAATTTTAACAAACGACTTGGTTAAAATTTAAAAATTTCTGAAGGTGTTTTTTATTTTTGCGAATTTTTAAACCAGATAGGACATAGTCTAAATTGGAGAATTAATATTAAAAAAAAAGAAGAGAGATAGGGATATATAATTTATATCCTCATCTTTTAGATTTAGGACAATGTCCAAAACTATTTTTAAAAAATTCGTAAACATTCGCAAGTTATAAAAAGTTTGTGAATTTTAATTTTTTTGATGTTTTGGGCACAGCGCTTATTAGAGAAAAAAAGAGAACAAAATGAGCTAGTTACAAAATGTAGTGTTGCTAAATGTCTTCTCGATATTTTAGCCAGACAAATATTGCCTAAATTTCGAGATTTCACTAAGGTGCGCAAACCTTTGTACTATATATGAGCCAAATTTTTAGGATGCGCAATAATTTATTGGATATAATTTATTTCTAAGGTAAAAGAAGTGTAATATTTATACATTCTTCGGTGCAAATAGATAATTTTTTTACAGTGCAA